CATAATAATAATCGATGTGCTCGGAGGAAAACGAAGTTTCACAATAAAAAAGATAACGATACTTAAGATAAACAACACTGTTTATTTATAACAGAAGAGAACACAGATATACATTTAGGAATTCTACAGATTCCGTCTTCAGTACTTAGCTTTAGATGCTGAAGATGGAATCTGTAGAATTCCTAAATGTATATCTGTGTTTGTTTGTTTGTAATTAAGCACAAAGCTACATAATAGGCTATCTGTGTTCTGCCCACTACGGGTATCGAAACCCGCTTTTTAGCGTTGTAAATCCGTAGACATACCGTTGTGCCACTATGGGGCTTTTTTCATAAATAAACAATGTTGTTTATCTTAAATATATTTATTCTTTATATTACATAATAACAATACTTATATGATCTTATATCAATTTTGATAGAAGAGTTAGCACCCAAAACTCAAGTGAAAAAGGAATAGGCAACTATTCGAAAGCGCTCGAATTCTGGGTTTTTTATGAAATTAATTACATGATCTTATAGAATTTCTGTAATATCTAACTGTATTTTTTTGGCACTTGCTAAAATACTTTAAAGAATGCAGTGCAGAATGTTATATGATTGGAGTAATTGTTTTATATATGTACTTTCTGTACACAGACCGATAACGTAACTTCAATGCTACTTAAATGTACATAACTGTCTGTGTGAGTGTTCATATTTTGGTTTGATACTATTTAAACTATGAACACTTAAGACGTCGGTTTCTAAATACACCCCTTTTGTTTAGTTATCGTTTATTTTGGTTGTAAACAACTCTAGCTTCAGTGAGTGACGAAACTTCACAATGAAGAATGTAAGTATTGATACATACTGCTCAAACTGGCTTTAGTAATAACTAAACTTAACGAAGAGTGTAATTATTGGAACATGCTTTTCGAAGTATATAAAGTTTCGTCGGTCTCTTCAGTTGTAGAATTTGATACTCATCATACAGAGCTGTTCTTGTTAGCAAAGACGGCACACCTGTGTTGACTGAAAACTTTGCTTTGTCTTCAACAGGCCTGAAATGATCAAATGACCAGTTTTGAAATATATATATATATATATATAATACTAGCTGAGTTACCCGGCATTGCACGGTGAAAATTTAGATTTGAAATGTATAGATCAGTATTTT